TCCACCGACTTGACCCTCGGGTCTCACGCGGTGCGGCTCACAGGTCATGAGGAAAGTGTTCCCCTTTCGTCATGGGTGGTTTTGGTGGCCTTAAAAAGTCACTAACTCTCACAAAGTTTACTATTTTTCTCCTCCAATTTATTTTTCTCTTTGCATAAAGCTTCACGGGTTTCTTGAATTGTCTTTTCAAACTCGGCCGTTCGCTGAACTATTTCATCTCTTGCTTCTTGTAATAAATTGATGTTCTGCCTCTTCTAATTTAGCGACATTTTGTTTCAACTCCTTTCGCAGTCCAGTAATCTCTGCTTGCGTCACGCATACGTCCTTTTCGTATTTAATTTTGAGTTCGCACATCGAGGACTGCAAACCCTCGTTACAGTCTTGTTCGATGCTCAATTTTTTCTCCAGTTCTGCGTATTTCATGATCTTATCCGCCAAAGCGTTTTGTACACAAATAAATTCTTGATCTTTTAATTTAAGTTCTGATTTCAATAGACGTTGGGTGTTATGAAACTTCTTTGTCGCATACGAAAGTTGCTTCTGCAGGTTCCCAAGTGGATCGTCTCAATGTTTTCTAGCTCCTCCTTCGACCTAGCCACCTGCGTGTCTAACTTATACTGTAAACAGTCGATTTCTTCTTGGTACCCCGCCGAGAATTATCGAACATACATTTATAGTCGTCAAGCTCTTGAATTAGCTTTCTGTTTTTATTTTCCAGCTCGTGGAGCAGCTCATCCTGTTTTATTTTAACTACATCCAGCATGTCAAACCCCGCATACATCTTATCAGCCAATTTAGCGTTCTCGTCTTCACAGGCATCTAATGTTGTTTCTAGTTCTTGTATATACAAGGCCATCTTTTCTATTTTGCATATTAATTGCTCATTTTCGGTGTCCATAATTTATTAAAAATTATAAATCACTATATAAAAAATTGAAATATATTGTTATGTTTTTTTTAAGATTGTATTTACCATATTCGCATTGCTTGTGTATGAAGATCAATACGTATCCTAGTTAAAATATATTTACGATCTATCATATATCGTAATGTATATTACAAATAAATAAAAATAAAAAATAAACATAAAAAAATAATAAATTAGGTATTAAAGTATAAAATAAAAAACAATAATTATTCTTTTACTATTTATAAAATTTTAAATTGTGTGTAATACCTTGTAGCACTTCGTCGGGTGTGAAATTACTTGAATTAGTACATATTTGAAATAATCTTTTTGTTGAATCTTTGTACTTCTTTTTTTTGGTTGGCGCATACCCAGAATTGAATTGTTCTTTAGTTACTTTTGTTAAGCTTTCATCCTTTTGCAATGCACTTAAGTAGGTAACTACCAGTAGAACAAAAAAAAACTGTTATAATATGAAAAATAAATAAATACATAATATACTTTTATTATATTTTTATGGTGATAAATATTTTTGTGTAAAATAATATTTATTATTATACCTCAATATTACATTAGACAATTCATGAGAGTTGTGATAAAACTTAAATTGTTTTATATTATATTATTATAATTTTGGGTTAATTTTCGTAATTTTCGTTTGGGTTAATACGCAAAAATAAACATGAAGAAATAATTTACCTGGTATTGTATGGGCTCGTCCTGGACACTTTTAAATTTCATTGCATCTCCATATATTTTTTTCTTCACCTTCACGATCTTTTTTATGGATAAATCCCCCATAAACAAGGAGATCATTTCCCCGTTGACTTTTTATAAATTCCAAAGGCATGTTTTTGGATAATTCTTTTTAAATTTGTTGTTACGTGAAAATCGTACGAATCACAGTGCGATATAAAACACACTAACTAACTAGGTATAATTCCGTAAACTGTAGGTAATAAAGATAATGATAAAATATTAAAATGTATAGGTACCTACCATTTAGTAATTTAGATATAATATGTGACCATATATAGATTAACTATGATATTATATATCCATACAGATACCAGGTTTTTACGTTGACATTGACTGATACGTATATTATATATATATTTTTGTTTTGAGTCAAAATTGACTTGCGCCTAAAAGTGGTGGCGTTAAAATTGTGTGTGTCGAAATGACGCATGCGCCCAATTGTCGTTCGTCCAAAAGACCACGTTCATTTGACGTGCGTCAATATGACGGGACACCAATTGATACATATATAATAAGAGATTTAACATCAATAGCATACCAAACGATACGAATTATTAGGAATAAAACTAAAAAACATAACAGCGATATAGGTAGGAGTCATAATAATAGTAGACTTGTCTGATAATACCAAGTAGATAGTAGTAATAACTGATTTATATTTATATAATATTATAAATTATAATAGTTAATAATTAAAAGGACCGTCTGTACGTGTATTTAGGAGAGGTCATGGACCAAACCAATACACAGTAAACATGAATCAAAACGAAATAACAGTGGGCTAATAAACTGTTGATCTATATTATTCATCGTTTGTGACAATAAATGTGAAAAGAAAAGCAGAGAAGCGATTAAATAAACAGAAGAGACTGGAGCTAATATCTCACATAATATATTATAATGAATACTCAAACAATAGTTAGGTAATAATATTTTTTTTTAGGCGATACATTATAAAACAATTATTATATTATACGGTCATACGGATTCATCAATTAAATAATATGCATTATATAAAATACAAAATAAAACTGACGACATGTTAGATTTATAACTGGCAGAGGTCGTCAAATCTGTCTAACTGTCTAAGGCATATCTTTAGGAATACATTTTGCACATCATTAATAGAGATCCAATAATAATACCTACCAATATAACCAATAGTTATTTTTAGTGCATCCATATAGGCTCCCATCCATTGCTTACTTATTCCCAAACGGCTCCAGAAGAAAAAGGTTTTACGAACAGGTAAATTCCCAAGATGCCCGTTACCTAACCGTCGAACAAAGTTTCACCCAAATTTACCCAATGTATGATTTTTATATTTATATAATATTATTTTTCCATTTTTTAACTCTACAATTAAAAAAAAAAAAAAACATGACACATTTTATATTATCAAATATTTTTTTTATTTTTAATTCACAATTTCAAATATAAGATTTTTTTATATCACACAAGTCTTTACAAGTCCACGAACTCCGGTCCAAGATGACGGAACGGAAACACCACTTATAAGGGAGCCCGCTCTACTGCAGCATTTTCTGCAGATGTACCATATATAGCCGTTGAGACTTGAGGACCTTTACGTCACTCACATATACGACATACAAGACCCTTTATAATATAAAGTTTATATTAAAATAAAACTACAATTACAATTTTATTACTGTTGAAATAGTCTTCAACTACAAATTATTTAAAACACCATCATCAGCTGGATCTCTCGTAGACCGCACACTACATAGGTACCTACAGTAGCATAAGATTATTTGTAATAATTGTGATATTTGTACGTACCTGTGGGAACTAACACAAATAAAATTATAAAAAAATATTATACTTTATTCTTAATTTAAAAATGTTGTCATAATAGTAGGTATAGGTAATCAATGTAATAAATAAATTGTTGATTATTTAATATATAAACAATAAAGCAACATTGTGAAAAGAAGCTTAGATTTTGTTTATTTGTTATTTAATATATTATATTTATAAAAAAATATGTCTAGGGGGCTGGGCTCCTAGGCCCACCCCCTGGATCCGTCCCCGCGGATATAAAGGCTCTCTAGCCACGGCTATTGGGGCAAGCATATGACTAGAGTTCGTCAGTCCTGTCGTCCTGAGCACGATTATAAATGTTAAACTTTATTATCGTGTTCCTGAGTAAGACACAGAGGGTATTACTATCGTCAGAGCATTAATATTGACATACTATTTTCAGAATGTTATTATAATTATTAATTGTATTGTACGTTTTCTCTTTAATTTTAAATATAGAAAGTATTTCGTGACGACCCTTTACACATAGAAACACATTCCGCATATTGTCTATTGAGTATTGACATTCGTATTGACAATTTATTAGAAACTTCGTACTCAAGCGAAAAAAGGTGTTGAAATAAATTTGTTTATGCATTTTCAACTAGAAAATAATAAGTATATTTTAGGGATTTTGATGAATTTCGTAACATTTTTAAAATTATAAAAAAAATATGGGCATTGACAATTTGTTTTTGAAGTGCAGTAATAGGTAATATCTTATAAGTAACTTTCTATTGAATCATCAAGCTTTTTACTCACAAACAAAATATATTGTACCATACATAGGTTAATCAAAAATAAACTTAAAAATGTTTAAGTGTAAATGTATGAATTATAAATATATATTAATAGCACAAAAGAAACAAAATATTTTGAAAGTTATATCATGTCTAGTAAATGCTAATATAAAATATATTTAATGAATATCCAAATCTCTACAGTTGTTTATATTTTAATTACGACAAAAAAATAAAATGTATGTTGTCAAAAACTGTTGTTGGTTACTCATTTTTACTGCTTCTAAAGGTGACGTAAAAAATGGTATCATTGTAAGACCAATATAGGTATATTCAATTTATTCATCTATCAATTTAAAATGCAAATAATTATCTACAACCATTAATTATTTTGATTTAAACGAAAAAATGTTTATAAGCAGCAGAATAGGTACTATTATTTTATATACATAAATATAGGCTTAAATCATAATTAATAAAGGTACAAAAAAAGTGCTAGAATATAATACTAGAGAATAACAAGAAAAAAATGTATAGTGGCTTGAAACACAGCTGATTATTAGTTTTCTGCAGTTGCTGAGTTGCCTCATTCCGTACCTATCTAATATTATAGTCCATGATATATATTATTAATTTTATAAGCACATCTACTCTGACCCTCCGTGGCCTTTACCATATTTTATAATTTCGAGGTAGGAACTCATTTGTTCGGTAGGTATTGTAAGTAAAATTACAGACGTCGTCCGATTGACATTCAACTATTCTAACCAACTATGAGTACACCGGTATTTAAACCTGTGACCCACGTCATTTTTGATTTGGATGGAACTCTATTAGGTAAGTTTATATATGCGTATGTGTTGTAACTTGTAATATAATTAATTTCTAGTAATAATGATAACGTACCTACATTTAATTATTAATACTGATGAAATAAATATTAGGTTTTTTTTCATAAATAGTAATTAATTGTAAAACAAAATTAATTAAGTTACTAAAAAAATTAAATAAAATATTTTAAATAATTAAATAATTTTTTTTTTTTTTTGTGTAATATACTTTATCTAAAGTACCTATATTATTACCTATGCGTTTAGATACGGAGCAGATTCATAAAAAAACGTATACGAAAATCGCCAATGATTTTGGTAAAGAATTTCCCGATGATTTACGTTTACAAATCCTCGGAAAACAAGAAATGGATGTCGCTAAATTGATAATCAGCACATTGCAACTAAATTTGACACCCGAAGAATTATTAGAAAAAGCTCGTATAATAGAAGAAAATGAACTAAAAAACGTAAAACTTATGAACGGTAAGTAGGTATATTAGGTAGTAATCTTTAGAGCATTAAATCATTACCTGATATAATATTTTGAATTTTGAATAATTTATATTTTTCATTAATTTATTATTTAAAAAAAAACATATTACATGCTTTTATTCATTATTTAGTATTGTGTTACATAAAAATTAAACGATAGAATTGCTTATAGGTAGTAACAATGTTTAAATTATTCTATATTATGACATACTTAATTTATTTTAGTAATAGATCTACTAGGATCCCGTGTACAAAATTATCACGTACAAAAATTTGTGGGCCACCATAACAAATAACTAAATAGGTTGGGAAACACTGGGCTATATCATGTGATATACTATATAGTATACTATAGATATACTATAATTTAATAGTTCAATACTAGATAAGAATTTATATCTACGTTTTACGATAAACATTATATCGATTTTAATAATTTTATAAATATAATAAAATAAAATATAGAACAATTGTATAATTTAATATTTTTAAAAACTAAATTGAAATGTAGCACGAGCCAGTGAAAAGTGGTACGCGACCCGCGAGTTGCCCATCCCTGTGATATAGGAAGTCAAACCTTTTTTTTTCAAAAGTATCCGCATGTTGAATATAAATTATGATCACAAAACAATGTGTAGGTAGGTACGAGTAACAAAAGTGTACATAAATTAATATCAAGCACCGATTTTTAACATATTTCTTATAAAATAGTTATCTACCTAGGTACTCTATAAAACAATTAATCAATTAATCAAACTTAATACCATATTTGAAAAAAATGTGGTTTGGTAAGAAAGTGTATGAATCTTTACTTCTCTCTCCTCCCACCAAGCAATAATTAGTTTTAAATTTTAACAATATTAAAATATTTTAAGTTATTAAATATATATGATATAGGTATAATTTATTATTATGTGTTAACAATTTAGGAGTCGAAGATCTGTTGAATCATCTCTGTCAGCACAAGATACCCATGGCGATTGCAACGAGTAGTTCAGAGGACGGTTTCCGCATGAAGACGAATCATCTAAAGAATATATTCACCGTGTTTCACCACGTGGTCACTGGTTCTTCGGATCCGGAAGTAAAAAATGGCAAACCAGCACCAGACATCTTCAAAATATGCGCTTCAAGGTTTCCGGGGAGCCCAGCAAACTGCAAGGTAGTTTATTTATTTATGTATGTCTACAGACAAACTAAGATTTAGAAAATTAAAAATTTGTTAATGGTAACACACAAAAAAGGTGGGCAAGTGGCTGTACAGTAGGTTATAAGTGAGTCACTGTAATGGATGGTGTTAAATTTGAATTCAATGATATAATATCATTGTACAATAAAAACGAGTCTGAGCGAAGTCGGTCAGACAGCCTATGATATTACTATGTACCTATATTTGATGATATTATTGTGAATTAAGTAATTTTTAATATAATATAATATTATTATATAACCTATTTACGTGGGACCTTGTTTTAAATTTTCAATCCTTAGCTATAAAAGTGGAACATTTTATAAATTTTGAACTTCAAATTAATTATTAAATTTTTAATTTGATAAATTTTTTCAAAAATTGAACTTTAAATGCTTATAAAAAAAAAGTTGTGCTTACCTATGTATTTTTAATATTTTTAAACTGCTATTGTATCAATATCAAGAGCTTTGTATTAAATGTTCACGCTTTTTGGCCCAACAAATAAAACTATATAGATATTTATAGAAAAAAAAACTAAAAAAGTTGAAATTTGAAATTGTCCTTAAACAGCTCAAAACAAGTAAAAATATTTTTAACATTTTATGGTGTATAGAAAATGAGAATATAAACTTCAGTAAAATGTTCATGTATCTACAGTTATTCGTTTTTAAATTATAACAAAATAAGAAAATCGCTACACGAGAAATCGAGTGAATATCCATTTTGTAAAAATATGAACTTCAAACGCACATAATTTGACTTTCTTGTAGACATTTTTATTTTTTTTTGATAAAGGTAGAAAAACTTATGAGAAATCTCGTATTACATTTTCAAATCTTAGGTTTCAAAGTAAAAATTTTTAAGAATTTCTAACTCAAAGTAATTTGCACATTTTCGTGTATTTTACGTGTTTTGTCAAGATTCGTACTTTAAATTCTTATAAAAAAAATTGTGACAATGGATTTTTAATATTTTTCAAACATCATTGTAACAATACATTAAGAGCCTTGTAGACAATTTTCAAGGTTTTTTACTCAACAAATAAATTTGTATTGGTATTCTGGTATTCATAGAAAAACAAACTAAACAATTGGAAACTGAAAGTGTCTGTAAATAGTTCAAAACAAATCAATATATTTTGAAAATTGTATAGTGTATAGAAAATTATTATATAAACAACCACTGAAAATTGCATGTATTACGGTCTTTATTTTCAAAAACCAAAATAACACAGACACAAAAAAAAACACACATCATTGCAAAATTAATACATTCATCGCTCCCTTCAGAATCTAAAAGTACGATAATTACATTGAAATAATATAATAGTAGTCCACTTATTATAACAGGAATAATAATTTAGGAAACAAAAATGTATCATTTGTAGGAATCATTAATAATTTAATAATCGATATAATATAGATTATAAATTATAGTTTACATAATATTATGTTCCCGTGTAACTATAATTTACCTACTCCTGCAGCAGATTCATTCTGATCGCATGATTATGATAACAATAATTTTCAATTATTCATTATAAAAATATAAACGATAGACGTTGATAAAAAATCTGTATATCTATAAAGATTTCTCATTGCTATTCACATGTTATATTATGCTAATGGTATCATAAACTATTCATTATGCTTCCATTAGATATATCAAAACACCTACACCATTATGGTAGGTACGTTAACTTCTATTTTTGACGAAGTACCAAGACTTTATGACGACGAATCTCTTCAAAAAGTAGATGATGAATGGCGCATGTTGATATTCACAAATTTGTGTGAGGATATTAAAAATATTCAATATGCAGAAGACTTTTGGATTTAGTTATTTAATTTTGAGACTGATGGGGATTATCCATTTAAAAATGTTGCCGGATTTGTACTTAAAGTTTTGAGCTTGCCATATTCCTCTGTTGATTGTGAGAGGGTATTCTCTAAAGTCAATCTGATAAATTCCAAAATAAGAAACAAGCTCAATACAGAAACTATGAATGGCCTGCTATTAGCAAGTCAGCTAATGAAAGATACGAAAAGCTGTGTTAAATTTGAACCCACACAACAAATGATAAAATGTATGACAAAACAAATGTACGAAAAAGTAACTGACCATAATTTGCAAGATGATGATTTAGATATTGGACTATTTACAAATTGTTGATATTTTACATTTTTTTTATTGAATTATTACTTTAAAGTTTAAACTTATATATATTATTTTATAAGACTAGTCACGTGTAATTAGAACATTAATTATGAACATATTATTAATTATTATGATAGTTATAGGTTATGACTGTATTTTTCAATTTTTGTTTGTTAATATTGGTATAATATTATGTTAATTGGTTTACAACCACACTATAATATTTGTACTGTCCATCGGTAATTCTTTAAAAACCAGTGTACTACGGTCCTCATACGGTAATTTCATAAATTTTCTCCCAACCGTGAACTATTCAGATATGGCAACACTAACACCATACTATGTTATTTTAGATTCTGAGAAGAGTAATGACACATAAAGTACAGCAGAGCGTTTTACACGTGTTCGTTTTAAGTTAATATCACATACAATGAATACATATTATAATACAATCAATTACAAAGAATACCAATAATGGAAAATTTATTTTAATTCTATAACAATTTTGTGCAACACCTTATTTTTACGCGTATTCGAACTGATTATTATCTGATAATATTAATAATCTACCATTGAAAAATGATTACCTGCACTCTAATAATATACACGCATGTTTGATATGTTATAATATAATAGTGCATGGTGTTCGAAGACTCGCCCAATGGAGTGACTGCGGCTTTAGCGGCCGGCATGCAAGTGGTTATGGTACCCGATCGCATGTTGCCAAGAGAATTTACTGCTAACGCTACATGCGTTTTGGACTCCCTGGAAGATTTCTGTCCGGAAATGTTTTCTTTGCCACCACGTGATTCCTCGGGTTCACGCTCTTCTTAAGTGGAGAATCATCTTCGAAATTGATACCCGCATCATATCCATGCAGTATCCACTATACAATTTTACAAAATAAAAATAAAAATATAACTAATATGGCAGGCATTTGTTTATTTGGCGGATGTATATATGATAGAAGATAACGTCACTTAAAAGTTTTAACATGAGTTTTTTGCGATATTTTAATTTTTATGCAAGTTATGAATGTAGGTATATAAAATATTACAGTTTAAAAATTTATCTGTTGCTTAAAAATTAAAACATCGTAAAAAAAACAAATGAAAACAAGGATAATGATCTTACATTAAATGTTTATACTTTATAATAGGTCAATTCGCTGTATTATTAAATGTTACTACACTAAATTGCTACTTCTGATCACACTTTTATTATGTTGTTCCTACGTTTATAAGGTCGATAGTCAATATATGCGTGGAAAAATACCAAAAATAGGTATGCGAAACTTACGTGTCATACATAACGAGAAAGTTGTGAGCTGTTTTTTAAGGCCCATGTCTCAAATCAAATTCGGGTGGATAAGTGTTCACAGTGGTCGGATTGCGTAAGACTGTATATTATAATCATGTGTATTATACATCAGTGAGTTTGAAATAATAAACTAATAATAATAAAAAATGTATTATTTAAAAATTATTTAAAAAAAGTCGCTCTACTGTACGGTAGGTTACAAGTGGGTCACTGTATAATGGATGGTATTAAATTTGAATTCAATGATATAATATCATTGTATGAGAAAAACGATTCTGAGCGAGACGGTATGGCAGTCTATAGGTAAAGCCATATTATATACTTATCTATGGTATTAAAAAAAAATTGATCTATAATAAATTCCAAATCAATCATATCACAATATTCATTTGGTACTTATAACGCGTTATACATCAATAACAAACCGTGATACTATCATAGATATATTATAATAGTGTACTTTAGAAGTTTCAAGTACCCACGATTAATATTATACAAATATACAATCATAACGAAATACCTAACTAAAATAGTTATTCTAGGTTTTTTATTATCTAATTTCGTACAAATTTGAACTTAAAATGACTATAAAAATAAACTGTTCGTGTGTATTTTTAGATTTTTTGCTAAACAGAATTAACTACTTACATGGAATCTTGTTTTCAATTTTTAATCCTTAGATATAAAAGTTGAATATTTTATAAATTTTTAACAACAAAATAATTATTCAATTTTAAATTTGATACATTTTGTCAAAATTCGATCTTTAAATGCTTATAAAAAAAATATGTGCTCATGTATTTTTAATATTTTTCAACTGCTATTGTAACAATATATAAGGAGCCTTGTATTACATTTTTACACTTTTTGGCCCTACAGACAAAACTTTATTGATATTCATGGAAAAAAAATTTAAAAAATTGAAATATTAAATTGTCCGTAAACAGCTCAAAACAAGTCAAAATATTTTTAAAATCTTATCAAGTATAAGAATTGATAAAATAAACATTCAGTGAAATTGTCATGTATCTACAGTTATTTGTTTTTGAATTACAACAAAATAAGAAAATCGCTACATGAGAAATCAAGTGAATATCCAATGTAGTAAAAATTTGAATTTCAGACGTTCATAAAAATTTAATTTGACTTTCTCGTAGACATTTCTTTTTTTTGATAAAGGTATACAAATGTATGAGGAAACTTATATTACATTTTCAAATCTTAGATTTAAAAAGAAAAATTTTTATGAATTTTTAACTCAAAATAATTTGATAATTTTCGTGATTTTTCCATGTTTTGTCAAGATTTGGACTTTAAATGCTTATAAAAAAAAACTGAGACTGGATTTTTAATATTTTTCAAATTTCATTGTAACAATATAGTAGGAACCTTGTATTACATTTTCAAGTATTTTTACTCAACAAATAAAGTTTTATCGACATTCATAGTAAAAAAAAACTAATAAAATTGGAAACTGAAAATGTCCCTAACAGTTCAAAACGAATCAAAATATTTTGAAAATGTTATCATGTATAGAAAATGAAAATATAAACAACCAGTGAAAATTTCATGTATCTACAGTACAGTAGGTTACAAGTGTTTCACTGTATAATGGATGGTATTAAATTTGAATTCAATTATATAATATTATTATTCATTGTATAAGGAAAACGATTCTGAGTGGAGACGGTGTGCCAGTCTAGGTATAATACATATTATATACATTTCTATGGTATTAAAAAAAAATTGACCAATAATAGGTTACCTATAATAAATTCCAAATTAATTATATCACAATATTCATTAGGTACTTATAATGTGTTATACATCAATAACAAACCGTGATACTATCATAGATTGTAGTATACTTTAGAAGTTTCAAGTACCCACGAATAATATTATACAACCACAACAAAATAACTAAAGTTGTTATTATTTTTTTTTTTTAATATGTAATTTCGTCCCAAATTTGAACTCAAAATGACTATAAAAATAAACTGTGCTCGTGTATTTTTTAGATTTTTTGGTAACAGAATAAACTACTTACGTGGAATCTTGTTTTCAATTTTCAATCCTTAGATATAAAAGTTGAATATTTTATACATTTTTAACAACAAAATAATTATTCAATTTTAAATTTGATAAATGTTGTCAAAATTCGATCTTAAATGCTTATAAAAAAAAATTGTGACTAAGTATTTTTAATAATTTTCAACTAATATTGCAACAAAATATCAGGAGCCTTGTAAATGTCTGTGAACAGCTCAAAAAGAGTCAAAATATTTTCAAAATTGTGTGGTGTATAGGAAATGCTAATATAGGTAAACATTCAGTGAATAATTTTCATGTATCTACAGTTATTCGTTTTTGAATTACAACAAAATAAGGAAATCGCTACATGAGAAATTGAGTGAATATCCAATGTTGTAAAAATGTGAGTTTCAAACGCTCATAAAGTCATTGTAAAATCAATATATTCATCGTTCCACTCTGAATCTAAAATATGTACAGTACAATTATTAAAAGAAATGTTTGTTTTTTATAATGTAATATAATATAATTTATATAATATATTAATATCATCATTAATATTATGACCTGTTACAAGTAATAATATGAGTAAAAAAATGTATTAAATTAAGAGTATCCAATAGTTATTTTTTATTCCACCATTGAACATTATTTATAAAAAGGTCGCATGAAAAATTTGGTAAATATCTTGGGTCGCCACTACCGGGCACTACACAAAGGTTAAGAACCGCTGGGTTATAGTGTACTACTAGCAATGGCCCATGATATAACTAACTAGCAGTTAGTGTGTACTCATTATACTTATAAGTTCTAGCTTATTTAATATATTATATATAAATAGGTAGGTATTTAGTATGTATGCTAGCTAATATAGTACAAGGCTGCTTCGAATGGTACCTCCATCGTATGAACAAGGCCGCTAGCACTCGATGCTGGCAGTGCTCGGGCGAATCAGACACCGTTGAACACACCCTGTTTGATTGCCCCTACTGGGACGGTCTCCGTGAAGCCCTGAGAGCCAGGATTGGCCACCGACCGAGCACCGATGACGTTCCAGACATCATTTGTGGACCGGCTTTCGAGACGCCCAAGGGAAGGATGCGATCCTGAGAGAGGCCGAAGAGCGGTTCATGAACACATGGTGGAAAACATCCTCTCAATCAAGGAAGATGAGGAACGAGTGCGACAGGATGCGAACCGGCGGAATTTACTATAGCTAAGAACCGATTTGTACCGTTTGTAATATAACTCATTTTTGCTTGTAATAACAGCGGGTGGGGGACTGTCCCGCCGCTGTTAATTGTCGTGTGTTTGTTTTGACAATAAACGATGGGGGCACCATAAGTACTGGCACCATAGTTCCTCCTCCAGTCCTCGATACCAAAAAAAAAAAAAAAAAAAAAAAAGCTAATATAGTACAAAATACTCAACATACATTATTAACACAAAATTTGAATTCAGGGAGGTCAAAATTAAAAATTCCCAATTATTTTAAAATATTTTCCAGGATGTCCATGGATATAGGTGCTTCTATGCCATACCTACATCAATGTAAGCTGTGATTTCATTATTAATTATTATATGGAAAAAAATTAATTTTTTTATAAATATAATGACTAGATAATGAGAATATTATAATATTTTATGTTGATAAATAAATAATAATTAATAAAATAAATGATTGAAAAATGTGGAGTCCCGTTTTAACATGAAAGTGTGTACAAGTATACTAACTACTGGTGACTAAGTACTATACGCGTACAATTATGGGTTCATCAGGTTGTTCATAAGAAAAGAACACAGTTTTCTTTTTTCGTAGGGGAAGAGCGGCTTGAATTTTTCAAAAAATTTCGGCCTTTATCGTTAATCACCGTTCTATTTGTATTCAGCGAATCATTACGATTACGGCGGTAAACGAGATATTCTTATCATATATTGTACCTATATTGTTTGTATTTCTGTTTCATGTTTTTCATTGGAAATTTTCCGCCAAAAACGAGTGCCGGCACGCTCTATAGGTGGCTGCCTATTTTGCTACCTCTTGGGCCGGTCCTGAGTAGACTATTATCTATATACTATTAACTATTATTACGCAAGTGCGGAAGATATTAATTCATATTTTATTCAATCTTTTTCATGAGGGGATGTGACAACTTATGGCCTCGTATTTAGTATATTTTTACAATTTTTTTTAAATAGGTACTCTGGTAGGTACTATAGTTGTAATACTTGAGTGATATTTTTAATATGTTAAATATTTTTGTTTTTTTATTGGTGGACATTTATATTATTATATATGATGTTCATTATCATTTATCAGTCATCACCTACGATACATCGTACCTATAAAACATTATTATTATGTTATAATAACTTAGAATATTAGTAGGTATGTCGCAAAACAGCGAAACGTCATTAAATTATTGTGATCTCTCAGGTGCTTGCTGCGAAATTACATCAGTATAATATGGTGTAAAATTATGGACGCAGCTAGACCATAACAACTGTAATAATCCCTAGCTGTAATTACTTATTTCCGCCAGAATAGTATATTATCTGTAATCACCATACCCCTTTTGGTCGTTTCTGTCAAAAAACAAAGTTTTGATTCCGTTTTAGCCAAACCCCGTTTTTACAAAAACTTTTTGAAATTAATTTTTTTTAGGAAACGTAATTGGTTTTTTAATAATTTGTTGATATAATTATAAATTATATTCTTATAGAAATAATAAATTATAACCGGACACCAATGCGTAATTATGAATACAATAATAGGTATTTGGTGGATCCCAATTCTCAATGACCCATATTATGTATATAGTTAATAGTTATAGGTAAAATGTACATTCATATTTTGATACTAAATAGTTCACAGCTTCCTCATCAGAATCGGACACACTTTCCTCACACACTCATATACTTCATTATTAAAAAGCCCCAACCTGCAATATGTGACACATCCCGCAAAGCATTAATTAAAACTGTTTTTTCTATAATATAAATACCTATTATGAAAAAAGTAAAGATTCCCATAATTAAAATCAAATATTTTAAACTGGTGTGTTTATTATTTTATTTATATTTGATATGTTACATTTTAAATTATTATACCAAAAACATAAAAATGTAACCAGTTTTAAGTACATTTTGATATTTTAGCGAAATTTCTATGGATTACGCTTCATTAAACAAAATTCATAGTTGATAAAAATCCTTAGTATAAACTCTACCATTTACATTTTACCTAAATAGGTAGCAACAATGATAAATATACTTGCGTTACGTAAACAACAATAATCTATAGTGTATACTATAATATTATCTCTTATGATCCATTTGGCAACTAAGTTACTAAGCACAAGTTTTAGTCTTGAAGGTAAATAATAGATTCTCCGACATGCGATGTGTGTCGTATTTGATGTGTACCAACCTATGATTTGAGTATAATATTATAAAACAGATTACAGAATACTTAAAAGTTGTTACAATATGCATCCTCACAATTAGATTTTTTTCCTAACTTTAGAACTTGAGCAAACGATTGTCAGTACCACTGTTAGATAATAAAATTATGGTTTTATAATTAGTTTTAAAATTAAAACATGTTTTAGACCCCGTATCTCCAGAGTATAAATTAAAATGCATAATTATGAAGTCAAGGTAACAAATAAAAATAAATAAATTCTCTCGTGTGTCAAAGTAGATTATAAACTGAACTGAAAAATAAAATTTTTTTTCATATTTATTAATATTAATAATGAATGCATTCATTGGAGATTACCTATTTACCTACTAGATTTGAATGAAAATAACGTAGAAACCTACGTGTTTATTGTGTACAATGCACGTTTATGCAACATTGTAAGTTGTAACCAATACATATTACGACATCTTACAACCAATACATATTCGTAGCAAGATGTTTAAAATTGGTTATTGCGTGATATATGTGTTATAAATCATAAGTTCGATAAGACATTTAACACACGTCCCCGTCTGCGACTATGCATCCCAATCACACATCATGATGCGATTAATTAATATTACATTCAAAATCGTTGTGAATTAAATATTTAAAACCATACACGAGACTATATACCTACAGCAAGTATACCTATTACTTGCCTGCTGTATATTTATGACGAATATAAATAATATCATAATATATTATTATGTAACTTCAAACAATACATAGACAAGGCTAAGGCAGATAATATTGTTTTAATTATTCAGCAATGAGATAATCCCTTTGCAGACATCACATATTATACATATTCAAAAGTAACACAACAACAAAATAATATAACGCTGTGGCTTGGGCCAATGTCATATTTTGACAATGTTCAGGAATTTAAAATATTAAATTGGCCAATTTTTAAAATTTACATAAAAATCTTAAATTGTATTTTCGAACTCTAAAAATTATGTTACTTAATTACATTTGTTTTTATTTCATTGTATGGCTCTCGTTTTGTTTTTAAGTATAGATATGTACGTTTTAGTTTGACATTGGTCCCCCAGAAAAAATAAAAAAAATACTTTAGTTTTACATTGGCCAAAAACTAAAATTTAAAATAAACAATTTTTAATAACTTGACTTTTTATGAAAATCTAATAATAATATTCAATTGAACATAATGTTCGTAACTTCTACATTTATAAACTTTATTAATTGATTTCGAAATGGCCAATGTCGTGGCTGTAGATAATATGTGGAAAATGTCGACATAGGCCCATAATAAATCGACTATTATTTTATCGATTATTGTCAAAAAGGCCAATGTAAAATCTAATTTGGTCATACAGGCATACAGCCAGTGCCGTAAAAACCGGGTGTGCAAAGTGTGCACCGCACACAGGCCTCGGGCCTCATATATATATCGAAGGGCCTCAAAAGATCTAAAGACTAATATTAAACTAATATAAAATTATTAAAATATATAAATTATTTATTATTGATTTGGAAACGAAACCAATGTTATTTCATTTATTTTTTTATATTGCCTGGAGTCGTGATCAGACGTGATCACTGTTTTTAGATTTTGAGAGGAACGAACAAATGTACTGATTTTACAAGATGTGTATAATTTTTTTCATTTCTGTCGGTCATCAACATTGGGTAGTAAAAATATTTCGAATTTCGAGATCAGCATTTTTTCTGTTAGAAAAGTGAATCTAGTTGGTACTTTTTTAGATCGAAACCGAAATTTTTAGTTTTAGATATTAAAAAGTGTCAAAAAAAAAAAAATTGTCATTTTTACCTAAAACAAAAATGTTATTTTTTGATATAACTCGAAAACTAATAACCGTAGTCCGTAGACCATTGAAGTTTTCACCAAATATTTATATTAATATTTTCAATAAATTACATTTTGGAAAATTTTTACTTTTTTGAGTTATTTATAGCCTTGAGAAATTATTTTAAAATTATAGATTATTTTAAATTTAAATTTTTTTTTGTTTAAGCCCGAATTTTTGCCTGCTGACTTTAAAAATTGCAAAAAAAGTTTTTAAGGTGTGTATTGAAAAAGATAATAAGGGGCCTCAATATTTTGGTTTTGCACACAGACCTCAAGTAGCCTAGTTACGGCACTGCATACAGCATAAGATACAATGCAGGCCCTTTTAACACAATTAACATAAGCCGATTTTTATGACATTGGTCAAATAATCTTAATTTTTTCAAAATGTGACATTGGCCCTTCTTGCACCAAGCCACAGAACGATACACACAGTTTGGCCTATAGAAACACAATACGTTGTTATTAAACGTTAATGATAATTCATCAGCCGATTACATTTTAATTGATATTTAGGAACACATATTATTTCCTTTAAAATTAAACCGCCAATAACGGTACCAAATTAATGTATATACCAAGTTTGTCATGCACCTAAATAACAAATAATGTTCGTTGTATTGCGTACTTAAATGTCTTTTAACGTTATTGTATTAGTGTCAGACGTCTATGTATGCGATGACCGACTAGTGCCTATATTATATTGATTCAAAGTCAAATTGTATAGACTATAATATTGTTATATAAAATACACATCTAGGGTTTGAAGAGACGGTGGTAAATAAAAGGAAAGAAAAATTCAGCGATTATGTTTTAACATAGTTTACTTATATAACAATACATAGTTATTAAATTAATTATTTATGTCGCTTAAAATAAAATATAATATATTAATCTTAATAATAAATAACATTGGTCGGATATCCTACTGGTTTCCAATTCCGGTTTTAGGTGATGCGTTTCATAATATTATTAAAAGTAAAAACTTATTACACCTACAATATAGTAAGAAATACTACAGTCCTACAACACAGATAAAAACTTAAGGTAAGTCAAAGAGAAATATGATTTTGTTGGGAGGGTTTATTTGCGGCTGGGCGGGAACAGCTGGTCATAAGGAACCTCCAGGAACACTTGGTTGAGAATGGGTCTTGTGATCTTCTCGAAACCCTCTTCGGCGTACGGCATCATGATTTGGAATATCACTCGCCAAAATTGGTTAGCGAAGGTTAACGCCATTTGGCCTAGAATATTGATAATAACACCACGTATTATATTTTATGGTTGGCTTTCTCTTTGCGATATTTAATCGTCTTTCTGGTGTATAATATAGTACTCACTCAATTCGGGGCTCCCATTGATCATGTTGGTCGCGTATATTTTCATGTCTCCAATGTCTAATTTCATGCCAACGTCCTTGATACGCATGTAACGTTGTCCGTCCAACTCAACGGCATTGCCTTTCAACATCCAAGAACCGGTAACATCATCTACGCACAAAAATAGAATTCAATGTTTTATTTTTATTATTTATTCAAATTTTATTGACTGGTTTTTGAGTGATTTTGTACTTACAAGACGTCACGTTGAATACGCCTTTGCCCATGATTGGCATCTGGCCAATTCTTCCCTCACCCTTGAATTTTCCGTTTGATATCACTTTTGGCATGTAAAAGTCGACTTCTAATTCCAACTGTTCTGGATCTTCAACGACAGATCTAAAAAACAATATTTTCAATAAATTATTTATAATTCACTAAAATGAAACGTATTTTCTTTATTCGCTGAATCATTGGCTTTAAAAGTACCTATTGAATATCAGACGTCAGATATGAAATTACTTAATGCTCAAATTAACTTTAATCAGTAGAAAAATACAACGATTGATTATCTATTTAAATTCTATCTACCTGACATCGACGATTTTTATAGATCCCAAACCATGGTTGTAAACATCTTTGAATAGAGATTTTCCTTCGATTTGTGTAGACTCGAAATGCATAAGATATTCATTCAAATAGAATGGGTCCAAAGATGTGATATTCAACTGTGGAATTCCCTCTGAAAATTGTTTGACCAATTGAGTTATTCGTTGTTGAACCTTTTTAGTTTAATAATAATAATAATAATATTAACCTTTACTAAATTTCGGGATCAAGTATTGAAGGGTTTTCTTCAGACAACCACTGAAGTCCTTATCATTTCTTTTACATGGATCTGTGTAAGTTGCTACAAAAAACAATTCAAATAATATTATATTAATTGGGTAATAATATTTACATAATGAAATATTATGTACATACACTTATTTATATAAAATGTTTTTATTCCATGTGCACACATTTTGTTTTTATCGAATACCCAGTTAAACGTCTTAAAGTTATTTAAATTTAAAACTGCTAATTTATTTTTTTCATAATAATATGTATATTTATCTTGCAAATCCATGGCTAAACCTTTTTGTCCTAAATTACTATTATTATTTTATTATCTCATTGGATGATGCGTGTTGCGTGTATAATGTTATGATGATGTTTTGATTAGGTACACATTTATGTTATTACTATATTATGTAGATACTTATAAATATATTGTATAGTAGCTGACCTTCAGGTAAACTTTGTGCGTAGTACGTATATACGTATTTACGTTTATATATGTACTATGTAGACGGCATACCAAGTCCTAACTAATCGAGTCTTGAGAGGACGTACACATAATAATTAATTATGCTTCAGGGCCATATGCATTTGAACAAGATAAAAAAAAATAAGCGAATTCGAATTTATTATTATTTATTTAATACCTAGTAAGTTTCCTTCGTATATAGGATATGAAATGAATATTTGTTTTTAATTTGAATTTAACGTGGCTGCTGCATCATACGTCTGTTTTTTTTGCAAATTATTTTCTTTCAACTAAAAGAAAACAACATAATATAATAGACTTGAGCTTTCGCGTATTTATACTTTATTGTAAATAGTAAACAACTTTTACTCAAAATTCACTTTCAAATTGTATGGGTTGAGTAGGTATAAATAATATATACCTATTACATATACATTATAGACTACCACAGTTGTACCGCTTTGTGGGTCAGCTATACTTACCAGCTACCTACTTAAACGTTTTTTTGTGCTCGTTTTATATTCTGTTCTTTTGATCATGTCTTTAGGTAACCTGCGGTCAATGATCCGGTCCTGAGAAATATATACCTATAATGAAAGTGTAACGCTATCTACTGCGTTTATATATATATACGACAACGACAGTGAAACCGTTAATTTTTTTTTTATTTGTACGTCCTATTATGATATATTATTATGGAAACTCTTAATAAATATATATTTTATATACACAGTGTACATTGTATATGTATGTGTATAATATGTAATATCGGTGAATGTGAAATTTCCCCTGCAATGACAACAATCAATGCGTGTAAATTAGTTTTTATATTATGTAGATTGATACGCGGTATTATGGCTTGCATTTTTTTCATTGCATCTGCATGAAATTTTATATTTTCATTGTCATTTGTAGAAAAAATCCAATAAACTCTCTCCAGATTATAATTTTCAAAATGTGATAATACCTGTGGTAAAACGCAAGGAAAAGGACGGATGCGATTATCAATTTATTGCCACAGCTGGGTGCCAATTATTGTTGAACGATATGCATCTCAAACGGGCATAATTAAGTTATTTTTTAATCATAAAACGTTATGATATACCAAATAGGTACAACACTGCGATATTCACAGGTAGTCTACAGCCTACAGGTAACATACAAATTGGTTCAGATGAACTTTCATTTTAATAATATAACTTTGAGGAAATTAACTAGACTTATGAGTATCTAGAATACCTGTAACACCTGTGTAGTGTGTAGCTATAGTACATATTTTATATACCTACAAGTATAAGCAATAAGCTATGCGTATTGTGAAATAAAATTCTGAATTATGTTTCCCGTCATACGTTTTGCATCAATCAGTGTGGTTCGTTCTCGAGTAGATTGACATTTTGTCCACATTTATTTCATCATATGATATTTACAGGTATAATTACTAAATTACCAATATGAACCAATTTGAACAGTTGTAAGTAATGGATAAGGATATTTTTATCGGGAACCAATATTATAATATTCGAACACTTTATTTTTCCCTGTAATCGATTTTGTATTTCCCGTTTTAATAATCTAATGTATAATAATCGATTATAAATATGTTATAGCTTGTAAGTTGTAATAGGTACAATTATATATTCATAATGATAATTCATAATCATTTTAGCCTAGAATTATTTATGATTATAAAAACTAATTCCACAAAACATAAAATGTTTATGCAAGTATATAACTATGTCAAGTACACAAATTAAGAAACTGGATATTTTAAATTTGAATAATTTGAGTTGTATAAAAAATAATGTCATTACATACATATTCAATCAATAGTTTAGTAATTTAGTGGTATAGGTACCTAATATAAATTATTTAAGTATTTCTACAGTCAAATTTTGAATTAATTCAAGTAAGTACCTATTTTGTTGTGATATCAATTATTGCTGTCCCCTTGAATAATAAATAATTATTATATTAATGTTGTTAGCTTATAACATATTATCTATTATAAGCACTAAGCAGGTAGGTATATAAATTATAATAGTACCTATATGATAATAAATTTATATTTATAAAGCATAAAAAAAAAGGAAATTTTTAAATGGAAATCATAAATTATTTAAAACTAATTTTGACTTAAGCTGTATATTTATTCTACAACTTAATATACATCATATTATGTTTTATTTTAAATTGCATAATTTATGATAAATGCCATTATAGTATTATACTCATTGAATTAAGCTAGTATTATGTGAAAACTATTTACTAAAGGAGATTATAAATTATAATCGTTCTACTACTTCTAATTCGTACTTCACAACTTCACAACGAATAAAAACATAATATTGTAAATATAAATATAACCTAATTTCGTGGTTCAGAGTATGAGTTTTCTGATAGTTCATACCAATATATCATTGCCTATTAGTTGTGGAAATACAAAAATAGGAAACAGGCGAATAATCATGTTATAATAAATAATTTATATTATGGAGGTCCAGTTTGGATAAACTTTAATAGACGAATAATTTAAATGATTTCCAAATGATAATATTTTTTCGAAAACAAATAAAACCGCTTCTAAGAAAATTTGAGTGATTGTTATACAATATTATAGGTACCTATATTATGTATAGTGGTTGATGCGTTAAACTCGTAGTCGACTAAGCTCAAATTCTAAAAAAACAACTCAATATAAATTAATACATAACTCCAGTTACGTGTATTTACAAAGTAATAAGTATAGTAATACGATAGTGAATACATATTTCTACTTCCGCAGTCTGCAATCTGGGTGTAGGCACATTGGTACAGTGGTCTTTCGTATAACTATTTAGAGACCGTGTACACCACACGTAACGGTGTATTATATAACATTATTACATGTATTTGGTTATACATAATTATGTTGTTGAAAACTTGAAAGGCAAAAAAACACAAAAGAAGACATTAAGTCCATATGTCACCAGCACATAATAATTGTTATTTATTATATTATTATTATTCATTTATTTATTTATAATATGTAGCCTTGTAAGTATCAACGGGGTTCTGCACTTTTACAAAATATCTCATAATAAAATATGTACCTACAGACAAATGACAAAAGTTATAACTATAATCTAAAAACAAATCTATTAAAATGAATAATAGAAGTGATACATAAATAACAATATAGATAAACTTATAAAAGGAAAAATTAATAATAAAACAGAACACTATACGTTAATACCCATAAAAATAAATGCAGATGCATCGATGGCTCATACACACACACATGTTATGAAACTTTTTAGTCATAAAATATGTTAACAAAGTATTAAATTGGATTTGTTTTTGAATATACATAGGTATCTAGTATAATAGTATATTTGAGATGATATTTGATGTTTTATTTTCTATAAAAATGCCATTTAATCCTAAGTATTTAATAAAAAGTTATTTAAGTTCTTAAAATCATGGGGAAACGCAAAAAATCGAACATCGACAAAGTTCAAACTTTCCAAAATATTTCACTAAGAAAATTAATTAACACCCTTCCATACATAGCTCTCTGGCTCTCTAACCATACAATACATTTCGATTTAAAATTGAAATCCATCCACGAAGAAGCTAATCTACGAAAATTGTACAAAAGTTCCTGCAATGGTCTATAATCTTCCACTCTAATCTACTTGTTAAAAGTTCACAGCAGTCCCCACAATTACGGTAATCCTACAAAACCTAAAGTAAATTATGGTATCGTCATCGTGACCTACACAATTCTATTAATACCAATATTATAAAATATTAAATATATTTAAATAAAAAAAAAAACAATCTGTGTATGTCATTAATGGGTCTAAACAGGCTTTTCAACGTTTTCACATATCTATATTAACTATTTATATACCTAGGTTAGTTTAGGTTAGGGTAATTTTTTTAACATTAAACGTTATTTTTTTCTCGTATTACATATACTTTTTGTGTCCTTATAGAATTGTAGCCTGTAGGTATAATTAAATAAAATAAATGTAACTTCGCTTTCAATGTTCCTGAACACACTGCAATTCAATATTTGCAACTTCTAATATGTTATGGTCACCATAAACTACAATATACAAGCTCTTATACAATACATTATACATAGACTCAAATATACAATAATAAATATATTATTATTTATTCGATTGTATAATGTGTATGTGTGTGTGTTAAAAATGATAGTACTTACGCAATTCGACGCCGCCGGACCTGAGGATGGCCGCCCTGGCTACAGCGGAAAACGCGGCCAGTAAAATGATGACTGCGTTACGCATATTGTTGTTGTGCTCGTCGTTACAGGTGGTAATAATTTACTCGGTGTGTGTTGCGCGCGGACGACTGTCGAGCAATACGCGATCCGTGAGGCTCCTATTCCGCTTTATAGACGAGCCTCGAGTTGTTGGAGGGAAAGTGTACACAAAATATATTAATTTCATCGAGTCGTACGGAAGGAGCGGGCCAATCCACTGCGTCTTCGTCGTCGGATATAATTTATAATATATTATACTATGTAATACCTACGTATATACGATGGTTATTTTCAGTTATCACGACTATATACCTATATATACGATTTTCTTATTTCGGCAGACGATTACCTACCACACTTTATAATATTATCTTAAAACCATTTTTAATCTACAAGACAATATAATACATAAGTACGTACGTAGGTTTGCCCCACTAAACTTTTAAAGCTTAAAGCACACAAAAGTAATGTAGGTGTACAGCTTAGTGTATACTGACAACCAACTATAGGTACCCAATCACCTGTAGCGCTCATTTTCTTCTCAATAATATGGGATTTACCTTGAAAAGAAAAATTGCTGTGACTTTTCCATAGAGTATGTAAAGTAATATATCGAAGACACCTGCAGTATAGGTGGGTCACAGATCCAAATTAATTATACACACGAGAAACAGATATAATTATGTATTAATGATAAAATAATGTATTTTATTTTATTTTATAACATTGTTATTATTTCAATATAATATATCAGTGGCGGATCCAGCACTTAATTTTTTTTTCTTTTTTTTTTCCGAAATTGGCTAAATACGGTGTAAAACAAGGGAAAACTACGGCGATTGGGGGGTACCCCTTTGCCCTCTCCCTGGATCCGCCACTGATATATATATATATATATATATATGGTATATGTAGTATACGACGACAAAGAGGTATAGAAAAGAGGCTTATAGAAATTAACTTGTTGTGGCCTGCGGTAGAGTTATGTGTTCGATGGTTTCGGCTCGTATTTAATGCGTATAATAATTAATATGCATAGCCGTATAGCCGTATAGGGTGATTACAAATACAAAATAAGAGCTCCTATATTATGTAGGTATGCATGTGTGCATAATATTATTAATTGCATAGTTGTATAGTATATTGGTATATTAATTTCGTTTATTTTCTGTATGTTAAATATTTATACTAGGTACCTACTTTTTTGTAATAATATATTTTAACAATGTAAACACATAATATAGTAAACACAAATAGTACTAAATAGTAATAACTAGGGATCGGATTTTGATGCATTTGCATTTTTTTTTGGAATGTTAATGCTTTCCAATATACAAATGTGTTTCAAGTAGATAGGTACACACTAACACACTATGGTAACAACGAACATTTTCGTGGAATTTTTTTTTTTGCATTTTTCGAAGATTTTCACGTTTAAGTGCGATTTTCAACGTTTTAAGGGCTTATTTATTTATTTTTTGCAAGACATTTTTTAACCAATTTCTGGTAATATTACGAAAAAAAAAATAAATACACATATTGTACTAAAACAATAAGAATAATGTTCTGATAGGAAAAATAAATAAAAAACGTCTACTTGGAAGACCAAGAACAAGATGGAAAGACACCGTAGAAAATGATATGAGTTAGATAGATGAGAATGTAACGTTAGACTGGACTTTGGACAGAAAAAAATGGAGAGACTTACTAGTGGCACCGCAGGTCCTTAATGGACCGTTAAGCTGTTGAAGAAGAAGAAGATTGTACTAAAACCACATAAGGTAATTAAGGTTTATATTATAAAGTAACATACAAGGGTTTTAAATAGAATGGTTCACAAATTTATCTTGATTTCTGAAAAAATCCAGGGTCAATTTCTATGGAATTATAATAGCTTTTAGGACATTTTTTAGTTTTTTTTGTGACAAACGCATTTTTTAAAAGGGCATTTTCAATATTTGTAAAAAGCCATTCAAATCCTAGTAAAAACTAAAAATACATATTTCTACAAAAATTAGATATAATAGATATTTTTTTTAATATGTATACATTATGCGTGTTTTGGAATACTCAAAAAAATATTATAGATGTTGAGGTCACAGGCCCCCCCCTCGGAATTTTTTTACACTTTTAGCACTGGCTATATATGATATTGTATTTATAATATATGTTTTATATTATAAACAATACGCGATTGTGTGTGTGTATACTGTATACGCATTTAGCACGACCAAACATAATATTATAATATTATACTCGTCCGTATCCGCAAAACATTCCGAGACCTCGAAATGTGCCAGTGTGAACCTATAGTGAATTCGTACAGTTTTACGCGATATTACCTACCAACTTCCTGTAACGTCAGTCCCGGAATCAGGAAATACTATAATATAATTATGTACCTATATGTACGCCTGCTGTGAGTAAACAATACTATTAAACTGCAGGATGATTTTGAAAAAAATAATATGATAAAATAGTTGAGCGTGTTTGACATAAACCACGCACGACGCACACAAGTGCCGGCTGTTAAGGCATGTTCTTCGTAAATCACGGATTCTCAGATGCGAAGATCTATACTGTCATTCTAATCTAGTGTTCTCACATAGTGACTTACAGTGCCCAGTGGTATAGAGCAGCGTTTCCCAAACCATGGGTCGCGAAATTTTTTTGATGGGTCGCAACTCTAGTAAAGATTAAATTTATGGGTCGCCATTGCAAAAAGGTTGGGAAACGCTGGTATAGAGTGTAACAGTGTGTCAACGTGTCGTACGTAACTGATAGAACTGACGTAGTTACATGGCATAAATTGGGTATATTTAAAAAAAAGAATAGCATTTTTATTTAAATATTATTAAATAAAGCAAAAAAAAAAAATAATTTCTAAAATATAAAAAAAAATATTGTTTAGAACAATAGTATATTGTGTGGCAACTGGCAAGGGTGGTAAGTGAGCTATTTCGCCCAATACTGAAATTGCCTTCCCACACGAGCCACACGCATACAATTTTTTTGTCACACCTCTGCGTTCATCGATCACGGCAAAGGTAATGCTGCAGGGACTTATGCAATAACTACACTATACTACAAAAATAATTTCTTCAAAGAAACGATTAGTTTTTATTTATTTTATTAAGTGTCATGCAAGGAAGTTATAATATGAATATAAGATGTAACCAAAAGCTTATGTTTTATAAGGACCATGATATAGAATTCAGTGTCAGATTGTGCAGGGATACGGGCATACGGCCAACACTTTTGGGGATTTCCACTTTACAACCCGGCACTATAGGGATTCCTTATACTTTACCTTCCGCTTAACGGAAAAGGGCCGCTTTCCAACTCTTCAACCGTCATCGAAAACTAAACTTTCCGTTACAAAAGTTATCACTTATTACATGGTTAATTAATTACATTTGACAGTTCTTCCCATCATATTATTCTATAGGGATATCTAGGTACACTGCCACAGAGTAAACAGTTTATTTTAATATCAGTATACGCCATACGGTGATGGAGTAGGAGCTATTATACCTTGTGAGGCTTGTAAAGTTGTAACTCAGTGTAAGTAAACATATTTAGGTAACTATTTAAAACTGCAAAAGGGACGGCCACGGCCACAATTTCAAAAATAAAATAGGGTAGGTACCTATTACCTTTATATTATATTTTTGTCTATATCATTATAATTTAAAACGTCTTGTAGGTATAATATTAATACCTACCTATATTATGTGTACCAATTACCAGATAAATCGACCGTGACCACGATCGTAATCGAATTAATGTTTGCAACAAACTCTAACTATAAGATTATGGGTAAGATGATGTTGATGACCTCAAAAAAATCTAAAAAAAATCGTTTAAATATTCTCAAAACAATTTAAAATATTTCCTTAGATTTTAGAACAATCAAATGTAAGAATCAAAATATATCAATTATAAGATGACATTATAAAATGCGTTAAACATTGACATATAGCCTCCCCAAAACAGAAAAAAATAAAGTAACTTAAGTGGAAATCCATTAAATTTTCAGGGGTGGGCTTACGCCTGAGGGGGTAAATACGTCTATAAAATAATATTTAATTAATTAATCTCCTATCAATTCGTCATACTCCTGTATATGATTTTACTAAATCAAAATTAGAATACTGGCCACTTTATATGGAATTAACATTAATGCATATTACGTATTTGAGTTTCATTAAACACAACACTTTGAGAGCGCTAATATTAATGTGATATTCAAAGTTCGAAGAGGGTGTAAAATATATAGGGACCGAGATCCTTGTACAACAAAAATCGTTGGAGAGGAGATTAGGAGAATCGTTGTGGGAATAGAAGTAAAAGATGGGATTATGTTGCCTAAAGAAATTCATGTTGTCTTGACGTGGTATTGTCTGTATTAAACCCTCGACCAAGACGTTCTATACTCAAGAAAAAAAGATAATATTATATTAATCTCAGACTGAATAATTTTATTGTAACACAGGTCTCCTGATCGATATTTTTTTTTTTATTCCTTTTTTTTTTTTATCTCAAGCCCGGCATATACCGGCCAGGTTAGGTTAGGCCATTAGTTGTATAGGTTTTTTGTAAGTTTTTAATGTCGGTAGGGGGGACACGTGTGTGTTGGGTTTGGCAGAATTTTTGATTGGCACCCGTAGATATCTGCCATGTCCGGGGGGGGGGGGGATGGCGCCACTTGTTCTCCGGATACCGTGACTTCCCGAAGAAAAATGCCACCCGTGACCAAGGAATCAAGCCGGCGTCGGCTGCGTCGCAACTGACGCATTAGACCAGGGGTCTCCAAACTACGGCCCGCGGGCCGGATACAGCCCGTGAACAAGTTTTAACCGGCCCTTGGTCCGCATAGGATGCATAGGTAAATATAGATAAAAAAAATATTTCAAAAATGTATTTTTATTATATTATATTTATACCTATTTATTATTATTTAAGTATATTGTAAAGTAAACAATATTTTATACAAAATTATAAAGTAAACATATTATTTATATA